TTTCTTGTGCAAGACTAAATTGGCAATGAGATTCTGGTCTATTTTTTCTTTAATATTTGTCAAACACCTGAAATGTTTTCTTAGTAAAAAATAAAATTCTAGCAAAACAGATGTAAAATATAACATAGTATGTTTACATATATATGTTTATATAAATAAAAGTAAAACCGAAATAAATGTAAAATGTTATACTATACAGATAAAAATGTGATAAATAAATGAATATACCAGATAGATATGTTGAGGACAAGCTTCAACTGTGGGCAGCTTTAGACTAATGAAGAATTCCCATAACGAAAGAAATGTACTGTGCATAACCTGAGAGGTCTTGGAATGCTTTGAGCAAAACGTTGTTTCTTTCTTAGAGAAGGAAAGTATTCTGTAAGGTGTGAAAATGTTTTAGTGTTAGGCACCCCAAACATTGAGTTATTAAGTCATTATTATTTAGAGTAAGTTGAAGTGAAATACACAAAAAGACCACACCCCGAAACCAGAAATTAAAAAAGAAAAACTTCTACAATCACTAGAGGGTGTTTTCAGCATCATATTTAACACCTCTGGAAAAACTGACCATACAGTTTCTTGGCACCTCGTAAAACGCTATTATAAAGGTAAAGGTAAAGGTTCCCCTTGACAATTTTTTTTGTCCAGTCGTGTCCGACTCTAGGGGGCGGTGCTCATCCCCGTTTCCAAGCCGTTGAGCCAGCATTTTGTCCAAAGACAATCTTCCGTGGTCACATGGCCAGTGCGACTTAGACACGGAACACTGTTACCTTCCCACCGAGGTGGTCTCTATTGATTTACTTGCATTTGCATGCTTTCGAACCGCTAGGTTGGTGGGAGCTGGGACAAGTGACGGGTGCTCGCTCCGTTGCGTGGATTCGATCTTACGACTGCTGGTCTTCTGACCCTGCAGCACAGGCTTCTGCGGTTTAGCCCACAGCGCCACCATGTCCCTAAAAAACGCTATTATACCTGCCTCTTTTCTATCTCTTTCTTGCTCAGGATAAAATGTTTGCCAAATGCCTTTCCAGTTACCCCAATAAACTTTGTTCTTATATAGTCATTAAGTAGTGTCTAACCATTCATGACCCCATGGACCAGAGCACACCAGACCCTCCAGTCTTCCGCTGCCTCCTGGAGTTGGGTCAAATTCATGTTGGTAACTTCAATGATATTGTCCAACCATCTCATCCACTGTCGTCCGCTCCTCCTCTTGCCTTCACACTTTCCCAACATCAGGGTCTTTTCCAGGGAGTCTTCTCACCAGATGGCCAAAGTATTGGAGCCTCAGCTTTAGGATCTGTCCTTCCAGTGAGCACGCAGGGTTGATTTCCTTCAAAATGGATAGGTCTGTTCTACTTGCAGTCCAAGGGACTCTCAAGAGTATCCTCCAGCACAACAATTCAAAAGCATCATTTTTTTGGCGGTCAGCTTTCTTTATCGTCCAACTCTCACTTCCATACATCACTACTGGAAAAACCATAGCTTTGACTATGCGAACCTTTATCGGCAAGATGAGATCTCTGCTTTTTACGATGTTGTCTAGGTTTGTCATCACTTTCCTCCCAAGAAGCAGGCGTCTTTTAATTTTGGGGCTGCTGTCTCCATCTGCAGTGATAATGGAGCCCAAGAAAGGAAAATCTGTCACTGCCTCCATATCTTCCCCTTCTATTTGCCAGGAGGTGATGGGACCAGTGGCTATGATTTTAATTTTTTTGATGTTGAGCTTCAGAGCATTTTTGTGTTCTCCTCTTTCACCCTCATTAAGAGGCTCTTTAATTCCTCCTCACTTTTTGCCATCAGAGTGGTATCGTCCGCATATCTGAGGTTGTTGATATTTCTTCCGGCAATCTTAATTCCAGCTTGGGATTCCTC